GTCTATAGATGGCCAACAAAAATCCTGTCTTGAAGCAAAGTAAATTGCCTCTGTATTTAAATTCTTCCCTTGACAAATGGTGCAGTAGAAATAGTGTTGGAGGTGGAACTAATTGCAACATAAATTATTTCAGTTATAAATGGTAGGTAATACACTTATAAAAAACATACAAAAAATATACATTTGTACTGTTACGCAAAATACGGTTTTTTGGCCGCCATTTAAAAAAAAATTTAAATTTAAATTTTTTTTTTTTGGCCGCCGGTTTAATTTTAAATTATTGTTAAAAAATTTGGTTTGGTATCAAATAATAGAAAATTTCATGCTGGAAAAGAATATAATGGTTGAATTTAAGATATACTGTGCATCAACAGTGATGCACTATGGGTGAAAAAGGTGCGTTTAAAAACGTGCCATTTAAAAGGTTTTTTATTTATAAGTTATTTTATACTTTAAATTTTTTTCATTTTTGACCCTTAACACATAAAATTGATAAAATTTCCCAATTTCTCTCTAGACCTTTTTAAAGAGCTTAAAAAACAATTAGTTAAGTTTATCAAAGTGTTTTTGTACGGTTATTGGTAACGGAGAAAATTCAAAAAATTTGAAATTTTAAATCCCCATGTTATTCTTATGGAGAATATTGTAAAATGTTGTAGTTTGCTTCTTTATGGATATATTTTGATAAAACTTTGCAGATTTATTTATTTTATACTAAAAAATTAATATTTTACTAAAAACACTTAATTAGTTTCCTTGTAGCAGCAAACCTAGGTACTCGTTTCGTTAAACCTAATGTTATTTATTTAATAGACTAGCAACAGAGCCCATTGTGGGTTAAATACAACGGTCTCTAGTAAAGCAATGGTTATGAAATCCATACACCACTTTACTCACTAATATTTGGTACAGATTAAGCACATAACATTAGAATCACACGCTTAACATAAGGAACACACTTTAAACACAAATGCAAATTGTTAACAACAATATTTAATCAAAGAAAAATCTATTAAATAACAATATAACGATAAGCCGTTAAATTATTTACTCATGTTTCGTATGATTAGATTATACATACTGGTAAATCAATTATTGCCATCTATAAAAACAATTGGTTTTTCTTTTCCAAGTCGGGTTAGCTCTTCTAGACCGGTTTTCATAATTTTGGCCTTAAGCCGGGTTTACACTACTGTATGTAGCTAAACCTGCTATATAGCAGATTTGTGTAACATCTAGCAATGCTGTATAACATTTGCTAGAAGAAGAAAAAGTAACTTTTCAAAAGTGCTATATAAAACTGCTATATGTAGCAGATCCTGCTATATATAGCTAAAATTGTGCTATACGTCGGGAGTCGGTAAATAGCAAAAGAAATACGTGCTACATCTAACATTGCCATATTTAGCAATGATATACATATATGTTTTCGTCTAGCATCTGCTATCATTTAGTGCCAACAGTTCACAGTTGTAGCCTCCTGGGTGCGGACGGTTTTGCTCAGCGATCTTTGTTTACAATGAAAGGACTGGAAACGGAAAGTGACAGTGCGTAGGATCATCGGGATGCAATTATAAACTTAATTGAACTGTTCTGCGGACAACTGGCGTTGTGGTTATACGTAAAACGTTTTTGAAGCCATATATCCCGTTTTAATCATGGACTGTCAGCGTATTCATCATCATTTAGGTCCCGTAATAAATCTGCTATACTGTACTTATTTCTCGAAGCAAGAAGCGGTCGAACCTAAAACTTGCTAAAGTCTTCGCTTCCGCCTCTCTCTCCGACTTCCAAGATCCCCGCGATAGCTGCCACGAACAATGTCTCTTCAACGCATATTTTGATACGGAATGCGAATGAGGTTGTGCTACATATAGCATATAGCACGAGCACCAGAGAATCACAAAAATTGTCCGTAAATTGTTCATACAGCAAAAGTTATATAGCGATGGTATATAGCAAAAGTTATATAGCAGGTTTTGCTACATAGTGTCTTAAAGCTAAAGGTATGGACGCACCATAGATTTGCCATCAAGCATCAGCACTCATTTTGATGTATATTTCGAGTCATGCACAAACTGCCTCCCTGTACATTACTTACGGGAGATAAATTTGTTTTTTTCGAGTTCGTTTGGCTCTTCTACCCAATCGATTTTCATAATTTTGGTCTCAAAGCTATGCAAGGACATATTTGTCATCAAGCATCATCATTTTGTGATCCATCAAATGTATTACTCTACGAAAAAAATTAAATTTGAATTTTTAATTTTTTACTTCAATTAAAAATTTATTCCAGCAGTTAAAATATCCTATATGTTTTTTTTATCAAAAAACCTTCAGTGAAATACCAGCTTCCATTGGAATTATTGATTATTAAGGTCGGATCTACCTAAAGCACACTGCTAAATCACAAACAACCTATATTGTTTAAAAATGGAGTTATTTATCATCGATTTATAGTCAAAAGATCATGCTTGCAACCTCAACAAATCTTGGTTTCACCTAGCAAATCTAAAAAAAAAAAAAAAACTTTCTTAATTATTTGAAAATCTACACGAATTAAGCTTTTCAACGACCCATTAGGCAATAAAATCGGTCTAGTAGAACTCTAGATTTAGTTGTACAAAGATTTTTAAAACTAAATTACTAGATTTATTTGAAAATCAATTAAGACAAATGGAAATTCGTTTAGTCTGCAGCTTTGCTGCGGCAGGGGTGTTTTGTACTGCGATCATATTTCTAAATAGTGCTTATAACCACTATTATAACATTTTTCAGCATTAAATTTCCTATAATTTGATACCCAAAAAGTTATTTTTACGAATATTCAAGATTTGAAATTTTTTTCAAGATGGCGGCTAAAAAAACGTATTTTGCGCAACAGTACGGATGTATACTTTTAGTATGTTGATTAGAAGCATACTACCTACCGTTCACAGCAAGAATCATTTCTGTTGCAATTAGTTCCACCTTAAGCTATATTTTCAGTTATTTCTACTGCACTAAAAATACTATACTTAAAAATATCCATTGGTGATTTGTGGGATTTGAACCCTGGAACCTAAGGGACTGAAGTTCCACGCTCTACCACGAGACCAGCTCGCTTCCCAATCGTTAAGATTAGTGCTAACAAAACACTCAGATGTATTTTGTAAACACATTTATATCCTATTTTATTCTATAGAAGTTAAGCAAAATTCTAGAACCATACGGACTATTTTCATGTGGTCTGCCCTAGTAAATCTTAACGTACATTTGCAACATTTCATACGAGCTGTGCTTTACCAAGGTTTGGTCTAGTTTGTATGCAGCTGTGCTCTCTTGTTGAGTACGCCTTCGCGCTCAGGACAAATTTCGTTTCCTTGCTTGCCTTACTTTGATGTCAGCTTTTGTCTTTAGCTATACAAAAATTCTCAACTTCATTTTTTTGTCTACAAAAAATTAATATTTTATATACATTTTAATTTGTGTATTGTGTTGATATTGTCGATTTTGTTTTGGTGAAGAATTTATATTGTCGATTAGTCTATCAACTAAAGATGTTGCCTTGGTAGTGTTAAATAATTTTTTTTAAAGATAATACTTTAGATTTTTTTCTACATAAAATATGTGTTGCAACATTCCTATTGTTTGACATACATATACATGAACAATAGTTTAATTGTTAATTACAATTATTTCAATAGCTTTACATGATCGTAGCTTTAAAATGTTAATATTGTAATTTAAAACAAATGTAAAAACACTCGTTTTTAACTATTTTTAAATATGTAGTGTAAAATTTAAATCATGAGTTACGCAAGTGAAAATCCATAATTGTTTGTAAAACTGAACTAAATAGTGAATAAATTCTTGTGGTTAGTTGGAGTTTGAGGTTCTTAAAGTTTGATATTTTCCTCATAGAAAACTGATTGCACTATCGCAATTTTATATAATATATGAAATTGGTGTTGTAATGACTTATGATGAGCAAGGCACACAATAGTATGGAGATTAATAATTAGAGTAAATCTAATAATGCTTAAAACAAATATATTTACCAGATCAAATCAAAATGTAAACTAACCTAATACAATAAATTTAAAATATATTTTATAACCAAATAGAAACTTTATTCGATGGAAGAATTTTCAATAATTAGACATTTTTTGTTTTCTTTTCATCATTTTAGTTGTCAAACATTTGTCTGTACTTGAGATTGTATTTATCTGTTGTTAGTATGTTTGCCTACGACCGTTTTTTTAAACTAGCCGTTTTAGTTCAGTTCTTAGAATTGAAAAGATTCACTTAACAGCATTGATTACTTAACAGCATTGTTTTACTTAACAGCATTGTTTCCTTAACAACACGGGTAGCGAACCAATGAGGTTCAATGAATGTGAGAAAATAAGTAAAATTGTCATGCTTCGAACTTCAACTAATCAGCTGTTTACCAATGTGATTCTTAATGATCGATGCAAATAGTGTTTGGTACAATGAGTCGTTGCATCACTGTCAGTGGTAATTGGAGGATATAAACGAAAACATAACCTCTCTTAGAAGTTATGAGTAGTGATTGCTACTAATTAAAAACTGTCGTAGGTAAAGTAGTGTACAAACTCGCGTAAATAGTAGAAACGACACTCGTAGAAAATTTTAGGCACTCTCTAAGGCTATACGACTACTACAACACTACTCGTCGCACCATACTGTGCAAATAAGAATACACGTTTTTTAATTGAAATTTAAAGTACAACCACCAATTTCGACCAAAGTTTACTACATTTTCTCAAATTCCATATTTATCGTGGGTTAAGGGACCTAAAAGATCGAAATGGCTATAAACTTGACATAATTCCAGTGTTTGGCCTTGTAGCCTTCGGTATAGATTACTGGGGCATATGACTGTGTCAAACCTTGTGTTAAGGGAGGGGGGCACATGCACAGTAGCGTGTTGCCCCCCCCAACCCCCCCCCCAAAACTACCCCTTCGTGCCTTGCTAGGCCAGTCGCGTTGCGCCACCCTGTTGTACAGCCCGTGCGAGAGTCCAGGCGACCTATATACGACATTAAATTCGGTGAGTTTGAAATAAATTCAAATTTAGATTTTTGTGTATTTAAAAAAATAATATTCATTGATTTTTATATTCGTACAGCTTGAAAATAGAGGAATTTTTGAGACGTTTTAAATCTAATGGATATTGTTTTTTGCGAGATATTAACAACAAAATTGGTGAACTTGATACATTGTTGGGAATTAAATTCAATTTCAATGTCTTTATTTTTACAGAAATGGTTCAGTAAATATCACAATTACAATGTTTTTCTTCGTTTTTTTGGTGCACACGAACATTGATTCAGATGTCAATAACAAAATAAGTACTAATCAAATTCAATATGGTAACCAAATCAGATCGTCATCAGAGATCTAAAGAAACAACAGAAAATGATAGCAAATATAGTAATATAGCACTACAAAATATTTCGAGAAGAACTAGTAATTAAATAACAATATGTATAATAGCCAAATCCACAATATCAAGTGAACACAGTAAAAATAAATATTAACAACAATAATTATTACAGTATTCATTATTCAATATCAGCATTGAAAAACAAACACACTTTAACCTCAACAATAAAATTGTAATAACATATAATTAAAAGACGAACAATTTGTAAATGTGACTAAAATAATTTTAAAAGATAGCTGCTCTCTAGTTTCATTTTTTTTTACTGCCCATAAAAAATTATATATGTTTTAAAATCCATGGAAACTTTGTCAAATTTGTATTTTAAGACAAAATTAATCAGACTAGGAATATTGTTTAGTATTAAAAACATATATTAACAAAGAAATATAAAAACTTTAACTTCATTTCATTGGAACACCCAATGGATTGAGAATTACAGTATTTGGTGTTAATATAAACTTGTTAATATACATACCAAAAGAACTAAGGTAATTGAAAATTTAAAGTAATTCTAATGAAAATGGAAGTTATTCGATTTTATAGTAATTCACTGTAAACGGTATACTGCGTTTCTGGTTTTATATTGAACAAAATATATTTACGCGTTTTCTGAACAATACAGGGTGGTAAAAAAGTAACAGGACAGTAAAATATTTTATAAAATAATGCAGATAGAGCTACAATACTTGGTACAAAGTTACAGGGCATAAAACTCTATTTTAACACATATTCAGTGATCCAATAACTCTTCAGGGGGACGGCCCACAAGGAGTCGGAAGAAAATCTTAAATGGAAGCATAGGTCAATATGCACATCAAATTAAAGGCCTTTTTTAGTAGAATACAATGCCGCAAACCGCACTTCAAAAGGTTGATCCTGCGCAGAATGACAGTTGTTCAAAGATTAATTTAATTTACATTGCTATTATAGACTTTTTTACCACCCTGTATATTTGCTTCATAATCAATAGATTTCCTTGAAAATCCCAAGTCATTCTAGAATTAGTAACTTATATGTTTAGTTAAATAGACCGAAGAAAATAAACGTATTGAGAGTATCAACTGTTGATTCCGAAATATTAAGCAAATCTACCAAAATTCTTATGTTCCTTTTGATCAATAATATTGGGTAAATGTGTATAAAGAGTGTTAATTTTTAAAAATAATTTTTAACTAAACATTTAAACATTCCTCCCAACATTCTTTCGCTGAATTATTTTACACTTACGAACCCAATCATTTTGTACTTTGATATATTACAGCATGTTATAAAGCGAAAGTAGCACACTATAAGCTATCATAAAGTAGGCCTACTTAAAACCTACTATAAAAGATCTACTTTACAGTATCTTTAGTACAAAACATACTAGGACACTAACTTAGTTAAATATCAGTTACTATTTCCAACATTCTTTTTCAATCCCTTTTTCAAATAATCATATTTTTTATTTATGTGAAGGAATTATATTTCTTATCTGCTCATAAACACATGCAAGATGCAATATGTAAATATAAAAATACGATCTTAAACTTTTATTCAGCAAACTTTCGTTTCATAACACTTTTATCAGTACACCTATAAGATTCTTATACGAGTATTTTAGCCGTGTCATTTTTGTTTTCCATAAAAAAACAGTGAATTAATCATTTATAAAAATGATCCGTGAGGAAAGTTCTAGAGTCTTCACGGACATTTTTCATCCCCTTTTAAGAAGTTTATCATGTTTCTGCATGGTTAAAACGAACTGTTCTCAAAATCCCAAATACTGATATACTGAAATGCCACTTTTGAGTTAGGGTGAATCTTAGATGTTTTCAATGTACATGTTTAGAATTGAATCGTGCTGAACGGGAAAAGTAGGTAATTTATTTTGAGATTAATATAATATGTTGTATGTGCCTTATGAAAAGTCGTTTAAAAGTAAATTATCTTTAGGTGAGTCTTTCAAAAACATTTTATTGTTGTTTCATGAAGAACAAATCATAAAGAGCTTTGGCTTTCACATTTTCACAATAGTATGAAAAATCTATTTGCAGTATCCAATGTGGCATTCTAATAAACCCACTAACACTAACTGATACTGTTTGAGAAAGATAATAAATTAAAATTGTTCTCTTCAAAGAAATCATGAAGCCACAACACGCTCGCACCAATTTAAAATACGTATGATTGAGAAACCCTTTTCGAATTATAATTAGATAATTTTTCTGACTCGTGTAGAGATGTTTTTACCCTTTCATTGCACGTGTACTCGTATTAAGTTGGCTTATAGTATTTTCCTTGAATAGTTGAAAGCTTGTGTGAAATAATTTTAGAGCGGCTGATATGAAAATACAATTTAAAATTTAATCAATAAAATATAATGTTTTAGGCATAGCTTGTGCTAAACTTGGTTGGAAATTTCGAAATAATATATTTAAAACTAAAACTATTATTACAAGTAGATTTTTATCCTATATGTATCAATGAACTCTACAAGTAAATGGTTTGATTTTGATAAAACTTTTCATGAATGATTATTCTGTATAAGACTGGATACACTTGAATTAGTCCACGAACCAGCAATTGGGGTCATGAGAACGGGGGTGTTATGGGGGTTTCAAATTGTTCAAAAACTGTTTTTTACCAATAATTTCCCTTAAATTATAAGAATTTCAATTTTTCATTACTACCACTGTGTATCGTTTAAAAATTACAAGCTAACCTATTTAAAATTTGACAATAATCTTTTCCTCCCCTTAAGCATCAAAACTAAGCCACAATAAACCTAATGTTATTTAAATAGGAAATAAATGTGACATGTTTAAGAAAATATTACAGTGAAAATCCAATGACGCAAATAGAAATATGCTTAGTCTGCAGATTTGCTGTGGTGATGTATTACTTATATAGATAATAATAAGTACTGCACTTAAAAATCGCTTAAACCAAATAAAGAGAATTTATGTGGTACCTTGACAATTATTGTGTGATTGACTGCTAAAATTAAGTCAGGTTGGAAAACGCATACTTTAGTTTATGGTTACTATTGCTTGCACTTTTAAACAATGCTCTAAATTAACATTAAGTATTTAATATTTTCGAAACCATAAATTAAACGTTTACTTCAAATACTTGTTATCTTTATGAATCAGCTGTAGACAGTTTAAAGGCATGTTTCAGTGTGCTAAATGTAGAGCGAATTCATGTATATTAACTTATTCTAATTTTTACTAATTTAAACTACTAGTAAACCATTCCTGGTAAAATCATACTATTAACAAAGAGTAAATATTTATAATTTACACTAAAATAAGATAACAACTTTACGTTGACATCCGCGCAACCATTCATGTTTTAACATGAAGAACAAATCATAAGGAGTTTCGGCTTTCACATTTTCAATAAAGTATGAAATAGTAGTTTACGCAACGATTGCGTTAAGTGAGTCTTTACGACACTCGTAGAAGTTTTTAAGGCACTCGCCAAGGCTCGTGCCTTAAATTTTCTACTCGTTTAAAAACTTCTACGAGTGTCGTAAAGACTATTAACGCGAGTTGCGTACACTACTTTACCTACGACCGTTTTTTAATTACTATCAATCTGGATTTAATTACTAACAATCACTACTGATAACTTTTTAGAGAGGTTATGTTTTCGTGTATTGTCATTGCCACTGAAAGTGATGCAACGACTTGTTGTATAATCAGCTGATTTCCTGTAATTACGTGTTTGTTAAACTTCGTTAAATATTACATTGCTAACAGCATTCTTACCTGACATTTTTGAATCGGGTAATCTGCCTTGCTTTAACTTCCACCAACTTAATTAAGAATACGCGAGTATCAACATGAACAAGTCGGATCAACAATTAAATTGATCAACTGATCAGCTGATCAGCTGATTAGTTGACGTTCGAAGCATTACAATTTTAATTCTTTTCTCTCAATACTTCGGACCTCATTGGTCCGTTACCTGTGTTGATATGAGAAAAACTATGCTGATATGAAATGAAACTATGCTGATATGAAAGTAAACAGCTGTTAAGTGAAACTTTTCAATTCTTAAGAGCTGAACTACTTTAAAAAACGGTCGTAGGTAATAGTAGTTTACGCAACGATTGCGTTAAGTGAGTCTTTACGACACGAGTAGAAAATTTAAGGCACGAGCCTTGGCGAGTGCCTTAAAAACTTCTACGAGTGTCGTAAAGACTATTAACGCGAGTTGCGTACACTACTTTACCTACGACCGTTTTTTAATTACTATCAATCTGGATTTAATTACTAACAATAACTACTGATAACTTTTTAGAGAGGTTATGTTTTCGTGTATTGTCATTGCCACTGAAAGTGATGCAACGACTTGTATAATCAGCCGATTTCCTGTAATTACGTGTTTGTTAAACTTCGTTAAGTATTACATTGCTAACAGCATTCTTACCTGACATTTTTAAATCGGGTAATCTGCCTTGCTTTAACTTCCACCAACTTAATTAAGAATACGCGAGTATCAACATGAACAAGTCGGATCAACAATTACATTGGTCAGCTGATCAGCTGATCAGCTGATTAGTTGACGTTCGAAGCATTACAATTTTAATTCTTTTCTCTCAATACTTCGGACCT